CGTCATCTTTTATCAGACCGCCGCTGGCGCAGAGGCTGCTTAACGAACGTGAAGTGCTGCTCGGCGACTTGGACTCGACGCTCTCACCGAATTTACGCATGAATGCATTATACTTTTCGTTGAGTATATTTCGTGAAGAGTGTGTGAAACGTTTCATATGATGGCGTAACTTTTTCGCTGGCTTCTCACCGCGCTCATCTTCCTGTCGCATTAGATCGTGCATAATTTCATTATCTTCCATTGCGCCCGTATTGGCGTGCTGCAGATCGAAGAGTATCGATGAATGTGATTTGCGAATTTGCAGTTCACAAGGCGGCGGTTGTTCGGCCAGATTGATGTGCGAACCTGTCAGAAATTCTATGTACTTCTTTGTACGCCTGTAGCCAACAACAACAACGTTGGCATTTCAAATGCAAATTGATGGCAAAATCAGTCCATAAACGGGGTAAGGAGAGGGACATAATTTTTGTTATTGAGCATAACGGTAACGAGAAAAGAACACAGTACGAACAGGTTAAATGATTCATATGTACATATGATGTACGCAAGCACATAAACCCATAGGTTATGCGAACGCAGTGGCGAGTATACAAGCCATTAGGGATTAACAATACAGAACAACAAATAMATTTTTGATTTTCATAAAACAAAATTCAATTTGATGTTATAAACAAGTTGTTTCAAGCAATTTTACGCGTTTTATTTGTACATTGATGAAAGTTATTCGAGTTTAATATATGAACAGTTCATAAATAGAATTATATAATTTGAATTTATTTACATACATACATCGTTAAAGATTTTGTATTAGCAGCGCACAAAATGATTGGGGGTGAGAAGATTTTGATTTGGTTTTTGGTGGTTTTAAAGGAGAGGGAAAAGATATTTATAAATTTAATATTATGCTTGTGTTTGAAAACATATTAATAAATATATAGTATAATATTTGATGGACATACACACATACATATATAAAAACATACAACACTGCACAAAATTTAGGCTGATAACTAGCATAAATAGACGATTTTTCATGCTTAATAACTTGGTGGCAGTTGGACGAAAATTGAAATTGGATGAATTTTTTTTTGATATGCCGAAATAAGAATTTATAAATAAATTCTTACAAATATTAAGGACATAATTTCATATTTTGATCAATTTTAATTTTTTTTTTTTTTTGCATATTTAATTTATTACACCCTTGACATCGTATATAAAAAGAAACGTCGGAAATCCTATATAGTATATATAGATATACATATATGGAATAAATGATCAGCGTGTCGAACTTAGTCCATTTAGCCATGGCCATCTGTCCGTCTATATACGCGAACAAGCACCTGTTTTTTTTAGATATCGTACCGAAAATTTACATAGGCCCTTTTCTCATCAATAACATGCTCATTTGGCGGAATTATAGATAACAGATCACGACAGCTAATAACTGTCATACAAACTGAACGGAAAAATCAAGTTCTCGCTTTGAAAGTTTTTTTTTTATTTGATGAGTTTTCTTCACAAAATTTTGCATGAATTATTGCTTACGGCAACGGTAGAATCTTTGAAAAATTGTTTCAATCGGACTGCTATAGCATAAAATTAATCGACAAAATCCAGTCTTTGTTAGAATCTTTTGTATTTGTAGAGGGTATTAAAGCTTCAGTGGAGCCTATGTTAACACTTTTTTTCTAATTTCAGATTATTATTTTTTAATTAAAATCGGTTAACGTCGAACTTACATCATTAATACATAACATAAACTCTTCCTAAAAAATATTTGAATTTTGTCACCGCTCTAAATCGCTAATTAACTTAAAAAGTTGAAATTATGCAAACAATTTTCATTATTTTATAACAACTTCAAACACATAAGCAATGTAATTAACATAATTAAGAAAAAATAAACATTAAAAGACTACAAATCGCAAAACATTAACATTGCAGTTAATCATGTTACTTATACGACGCGGTGGAATCTATTTCGACACGATTCAAGCGTCATATGTAACTTGTTATASATACATACATATGAACGTGAATAAATAAGGTACACATATCGAATCATCACACTTTTTTTTACTCCGCTTTTTAATCTCATATTGCCATTGGTTTTTACTACYACTTTAATGAGATACATCTGTATACGCTTGTCCTTGGCCTTATTTAAGCATGTTTGTAAATAAGTGTTACCTATGTCCATGCAATTGTGGCAAAAATAACTGCATAAGCATCTGAATGTGATTGTATGCGGCTGTGTGCGTACACATTTGTTTGCTTATAAACTTATATATCATCAGCAGTGATGACAGCGGCTATTTAAAAAAAAATGCTTTATGTTGCTACATACGCAACAGACGGGACATACAAACACACGCACATAAATATCAATATGCACACCTAGTGAACATAGGTATGTGGAAAAACATATAAGAAACACACACATATGTACGAATAAAGGCACATAAAACGTATTTCTATTAAAGTACAGAGACGCCAGCTATAAAAAGGAAATACTCACTCTTCAATTAGCGTATTATCAGCTGTGCCTGCCGCTGGTTGGCTGCTGCTTGTATCTTTGATCAAGGTCACTGCAGTGCCAATTCCACGCGCCACCACACCTACATCGCCCTCCAAGTCGAAACATTGCGTATAGCCAATAACGGCATTTGCACCCATATTAATAGCTTTTAGACCCATTTTTCGTTGCACCTTTAGCAGAGTAAAATATGTAGTCACGTATATAATAAAAACTTATATAGTATTTAAAAATTCAGCGCTAATTTGTTTTACACATACTTGTCCCGATAATTTCAGAAACACCACTTGTCTTGCCTCATTGGAAGCGCGCGGCGTACGTATTTTATCTATCCATTGATATTCAGGATCATCGTTGACGACCAGCTCTTCGACAAAACCATGTATCATCTGTGCGCGATACCCATAGGGTATACATTGTGCTGTAATGTAAATAAACCTTTAATAACAGAAACACATTTGCTAAAATGTAACTTACAGTGAAAAAATGGAATACCGCATGAACTCTGTCGAAATTTATTTAAATCAGAAAATAAATCTACTTTGACTATCACATTAACTTCGCCGCGTATGCCATGCATGGTATCGAAAACTGGTATCCAGCCAGATAATACAGTACCCTTTCCGTGTGTCGTTGGTCCCGACATTTCCAAGCATAATGGATTTAAACTTATATTCACTTTTCCAATGGCATCGTTCGCTGAGTATGTGTCATAATCCATCAATCGTATCTGCAACGGTTCGTCTTGTAATTCAGCATCGTCCACTTCGAAGCGAAACCTATATATAGAATTAATTAGTACAAGAAAAAACGTTAACTTCGATTGCACAGAAGCTGCAATAACCTTACAAACAAAAAAACTTTCTATATATGAACGAGCTTTCGATGCGTCAGTTTGTATGTCAGCTATGCGCTATAGTAAACCATATAATATAATCTGTGTCAAGTTAAGGCAAGACCTTGCTTCTGAGCGTTCAATTTGTATGGCRACATGACTATGTCATCTATTATATGTTCCCTACATAATAATCGTTATAGGTTTAGGAAATTTTTGATACCATGTACAAAATAGTATATTAAGCTTGGCACAAAGTAGGTAACAATGAAGAAATGTGGAATTCAATTATTTAACCACTACAAAACAATAACACTAACGTTATTATAACTATCACTGCGCTTAGACTACCTTATCTTGTCAAGTTATCAAATTTGATCAGATTGCAACATACTTTAAATTTGTCGAGTTAACAAAGAAGCAAATTCATATAACCTGTAGGTTCATTGTCGCCACCTACCACTTACCAATCAGTATTCCACTGTGGATTTAAACTTTTACGGCAGACATCCGTTTTGTGTGTAACATTGCCCAATTTTATTTCCACATAAGCGTCGGTGGTGTCACTACTTCTATCCATTACGGGCAAATTGCGCCCAGCTTTAATTTTCACACCGACTTTGCCTGGCATTTTAACAGCTGCTGACTATCACTGCTGGTGCTCCCCCGCCTCCTGACTGATTTAAACTTATTTTACACACACATACAGACACAAATGGCTCTGAATTTTGGCGAATAATATAACACACGTTGCTTGTAGTCCTCAAAGCAATTCCTTTTCTTGCAGCTATGTGTGCCGACTCCAACAATTGCCTTATGAAAGTAAGAAAACTCTCGGTTTCCTGGAATGAAATATGGTCAAATACTCAAAAGTAATTAGCACTAATTTTTGGAAATTAAAAGAAAACCGCACCTCCTTTTAACACGGAAATTTATTGTGAGGAAAATCTATGCATACTGTTCTCAAAATATTTAATAAAACTGTCAAAAGTGGGATCAGTGAAGAGAGCCAAGTAGGAAATTAATTCATACATACGTAGTTTATAAATATTTATCAAAATTTATCTTAGGTATATAAAGAATACAATTTTTCATATGTTTAATGATATTAACAAAATATATAGAGATACTCATATAAACAAACATTAAATGCATTCTCTCCTTTTTCAAAATATGATATTTGTTTAGTTTTTAAATAAAATAAAAAAATAGACATGAATTTTTAACCTTGATCTATGGCAATGGCAACCTTATCGGAGAGGCGGTCGTTATGCATTAAATACATCCCTGTTAAGCAAAAATCGATATCAAGTGCGACGCCATATTTTTTCACAAAGTTCTTAAGTGCTGCAATTTTTTCTGCCAGTAAATCTTCTAATTTTTTGGAATAAAGTGCAGAAAATTACATTAAATTATAATAAAAGTCCTAATAAGTGTATACCTTAGCATCATAAGTAAGAAGTGCGCAATAAATTAATTCAATAAGGATATAATTGCATAAGAAATTTTTCATTCTGAACAACTGCCGGGTTGATTGTATGCATAAAAGTACACATAAAAGAAAGTAATTGTGTTATAAGGAGCAGTTTGCAGGTTTTATTAGTTAAAGTTTGAAGTGAAATAAAAATGGAAGCACCCCCAGCAGGTATGGTAGCGCCCTCTGGTCCACCAGCTCCACGTGGTGGTGGTTATCGCGGCAGAGGTGGACCAATGCGGGGAAGTTTCGAACGCGGTCGCGGTAGAGGCATGGGTAGGGGCCATTATATGGGTCGTGGTGGTGGTATGATGGGAGGTGGTGGTCCCCCACCTCAAGGTATGGGCCCGGGCGGACGTGGTATGCGTGCGCCAAGAGGTTCAGGTTATCAGGGTCGTGGAAGTTATATGCCACGCGGGGGTGGYCCACCAATGCGTGGTGGCCGACCACCCATTTATGCTCAACGTAAGTATAACAGTATATATTAGATTTTTGTTTATATCAATGAAATCATTCACAATACACACACAATAGCAAAGCAACATACGGGTGCAGAAAACAATAAAACAGTTTCACCTGTACCAACAGCAAGCTCAGCCACTCCAGCCCCAGCAGCTGACGGCGCAGCTCCAGAATTGGCAGAAACAAATAATGGTAGCGCCACAGCACCTGAAGTCATTGCTGCAGCCCCGGTTGCAGTTAGTTCTAACGGTAGTGTAAGCGGTATGCCATCTCGAGGACCACCTCGTGGACGCGGATCCTTCTCTCGCGGACGTGGTGGATATAATTCACACATAAATGGTGGCATGCATGGCATGGGTCCTGGCGGAGAACATGGTCAAATGCCGATGAGACGCGGTGGTCCACCACGTGGGCGTGGTGGCTATGGTCAATCGATTTCACGTGCTCCAATGCACTCTCAACCGCATAGCGCTAATACACAAATTGCACCGGTACCATCATTGAAACGTGGRGCACCAGGTGGTCCGCCTGGACCAAAGCGTGGTCGTTATGATGGTGGTCCTTATTCACAACGTCCAATGGTGCCGAAGTATCATCAACCAATGCAACATGCAGCTCCAATGGCTCCACCATCTAGTTATGGTGCTCCACCTAGTCACCATCAACAACAACAAAGGTATACATTATTAAAATCATACCTTTATAAAACTTATGAATTTTGTTCATATGTATACATATAGCCATCATAGTTATGCCACACATGATCAATCCCAAGCAGTCGATCCGTATGCTCAATCGTATGCTGCGCCAGCCGCACAATCATCTTATAATGGCTATGGACAAAGTGGGTATGTTACACATACACAGGCGGCACCACAGGCCAGTAGTGCTTATTCCACACAAGGCACCGAATACGATCAAAGCCAATATCAGACTTATAGGTATGAATTATATATATTTTGCAGTTAAAGTATTGTGTATATATTTTGGGTTATTTTTGCAGTTCTAGTAGCTATGGTACGCAGCAAGATACGCGTTACCAGACGTACGGCCAAGATTATACCCAGCAGTATGGTGCGCCAGCTGTAGATTATAACACAGCACCACAGGCAGACTACTCGCAGCATGGACAGCAAGCTTATGATGAGCGCGCTTACGCTGGATATGGTAAGTTTCACTTACATAACTTTCAATTAAATGAAGTATCGTACTAATAATATCAATTGTGAAGAATCCTATTTAGTTTGAACACAGTGTTAATTTTTTGAAGATTTCTAATTCTATTGACAACTTTTTCCAATTCATTTAAAAACAGATTCACAGTATCAGCAAGGTTATTCAAATGCAGCTGGCTATTATTAAAACAAAAATCTAAACCGTTTTGACGATGAAACACAATTCAACGCTGTGCGTAAAAATACTTCCAAATCATACATACTTGCAGGAAGAAATCGGTAACTGTTGCAATTGTTGTGTGAATAGAATGTGAAAGTGAAAACACGTAAGAGTTTATGCCAAATATGATGAGCATATAAATTAACTTCATTATTTAACATTTAGATTTAAGTTAAATTGAAAGAATTAAAAAACTATATATATATGGGTGATTATACTACAGTGCGTCGAAAGAAATTGTTGGTGAAGCATACAAGAATTAAAAGTTCTTGTGTTAATGAAAATCCTAAATATATCCATATGTGTGTATTAAGATATCATATGCAATTTCTAGCAACATAATGTATAATCCATTTGATATACTAGGTGTTTAATGTTAAGAAAGAAAAGTAATCAAGTTTTTTTTTGTCATAACTTACAAGATAATAAAAGCGAATTTTGTCCCGTACTCCTCCCTCCATTAGCGTCCCAATCAATCAAACAATCCTCTAACAAAACCCGGTAAAAAAAGCAAAAATAAACGGACAAAAGAAGTAACTTGCTATGCAAATAACCAGATAATTCTCATGAATTATTTTAGCTTATATTTAAGGCTAACTTTTGACAAATGATTTTCGATATATATTTTAAAGTTTTGACTAGAATACAATTTATTGAATAACTATGCAATAAACAACACATGAATTGCACCTAAACTCATTATTTTTAATTTGCAGGAGTAAATAATATATTATTATTGTTTTCATAATTCAGTGCAGGCGATCTAAAGAAAAAGCTAAATTATTTAAGCAAATTTCGSCGAAAGCATGATCGAATGTATTAAACTAATAGACTAGTTAATAATTGTAGTGACCACCAAATTTCTATAGGTATTTAGTTTTAAGCTAAAAATGATATTTTCTTACGCGAAAATTGTATGTTTTACGAGAATTTGACAAATTTACTATGTTTTATTTTTGTTTAATGGCTTAACAATATACATACATTTTTGTATAAAAACTTAAAATATCAATTGATTTTCCACACATAAAAAATAATTGATAACACACTGTTAGACAAAATATGCATATGTGTAACTCTAAAAACCTATATATATTATGAGAAAATATAACGCAAGCACACTTCAAAACATAAACGCATTGTAGAACATTTTAGCAATTATTTTACTCCAAGCCAATAACGTGTATGTTTGAAATGCTGCAAGTTAGAAGTTCTAACATTAACTACGAAAAACACAAACTATATGCTAAAACTCAATAAAAAGCTAGTAGTACCCAAATTGTTGTAACTCATTAATTTTACTCCAAATTACAGCCATCTTTAAAAAATAAATAAAAAACCAACAAACGATAATAACTGCGCAAATAACAGCGCCTACTTTAAGCAATCGATATATGCAAATATGTTTGTGAATGCGGCGGCAACGATTCGCTTTGGCATAGCAAAAAAAAAAAAAAGTGTGAAAACAAAGTTTCACAAACTTTTATGTTTTACATTTATGTCAGTTTTTTTTTATTAATTTTATAATGCTAACTTTTAGAATAAGTAATTGAAAATCGAAATGCTTTGAGTGTAACAATTCTGTGATAAAATTACACAAAATAGTTTAATTTTGAAAAAAAAAAAGTCAAAATAACGCTTAAAAAGGTGGCTAAWCGCAATTACATTAGAGATTCCGCCAAATTTAATAAGCAATTTTACATAAAGTCGGATTTAGACCAGGGTTGCAAACAATRCATAAARCAATTGTATTGACATTTGAATTAAATGTGTTTTTGTAATCCACAAAATCTAAATTAAAAGTGATTTTTAAATTTTTTGTACCAAATATCGCAAATATGAGATAAAAAAAATTTAATCGCAAAAATTAATATTTAATTCAA